CTGCCGGTGCGGGGGACACGGGTTCGGGCCTTGGCTCGGGGAGATTCCCACATGCCGCAGAGCGGCTGGGTCCGTGCGCCACGGCCGCTGGGCCTGTGCTCTGGAGCCCGTGAGCCACGCCTACTGAACCCACGAGCCACAGCTGCTGAGGCCCGCACGCCTAGAGCTCGTGCTCTACGGGAGGGGCCACCGCAGTGGGGGGCCCGCGCTCCTCGACGGAGGGTGGGCCCTGCTTGCCGCGGCTGGAGGGAGCCCACGCACGCACGGCGGGGACCCAACACAGCCAAAAATAAATAAATAAATTTATAAAAACATTACCATTCAAGTAAAAACTCTCCATCGCATTTTACTTCTTGCTCTCCCTGCATCCACCTAATCAGGTCTAAACAATTCTGATCATCAGTTCCAACAGCGGATGGGGTGAGTTCCACACCAACAGGCAATTCTCCACTGCCAGCTGCGTGTCCTACCATTCAACTTAGCTCCGACCCTATCCACCCGGAGACAGTGTCAGATCCCACAGGCTGAGGGCTTAGTCCTACCAGACTGCCGCCCCACCTCCCCCAGATGCCAGCAGCAAGTCCGGTTTGTTCCCTGTGCTTCTGGTCCACCGGCTGTAGATCTGAGGTTGCAACAATCCCTTCCTTGGGTTCAATTAATTTGCTAGAACGGCTCGCAAAACTCAGAGGAATATTTTACTTACTAGATTACCTGTTTCTTATAAAAGGATTTAACTCAGGAACAGCCAGATGGAAGAGATGCACGGGGCCAGGTAGGAAGAAAGGGCTCGGAGCGTCCATGCCCTCTCCAGTTGCATCATTCTCCCCAAATTTCCACGTGTTCAGCAACGCTGAAGCTGTCTGAACCCCGTCCTTTTGGGGTTTTATGGAAGCTTCATGACGTAGGCATGGTTGATTAAGTCACTGGCCTTTGACAATTGACTCAATCTCTAGCCCCTCTCCCCTTTTTGGGGTAGGGAAAATGGGGGGGGCCAAAAGTGCCAATCCTCAAACCACATGGTTGGTTCCCTGGCAACCAGTCCCCATCCTTAGATGCACCCAAAAGTTATGTGATCAATGTTACAAAAGACACATTTGTCGGGACTTCCCTGGTGGTGCAGTGGTTAAGAGTCCACGTGCCAATGCAGGGGACATGGATTCAATCCCTGGTCCGGGGAGATCTCACATGCCGCAGAGCAACTAAGCCCGTGAGCCACAACTACTGAGCCCACATGCCACAACTACAGAAGCCTGCGCACCTAGAGCCTGTGCTCCACCACAAAGAGAAGCCACCGCAATGAGAAGCCTGTGCACCGCAACGAAGAGTAGCCCCCTCTCACTGCAATTAGAGAAAGCCCGTGTGCAGCAACGAAGACCCAATGCAGCCAAAAATAAGATTAAATGAATAAATAAAAGACACATTTGTCACTCTCATCATTTAGGAGATGATTTCAAGGGTTTTAGGAGCTCTGTGTTGGAACCAGGGATGAAGACCAAATATATATTTTTTATTATAAACCACAACATCACAGGGACAGACACTGTTGCTGGAGGAGGAGAAAAGAGAGGGAATGACCCCTCCCTCCTTTCCTATTTGAAGGGGTTTGTCCTCAGCAGGCCCAGCTTGGGTATATGAGCGGAAGGAAGGACAGTGTGAGATGTTTCCTCTAAGTCTGATTGCAATTTTGCTCATTATGTAGGTCTGAACACTGTAAATTACTACATCAAGAACCTGCTGATTAACAGTAGATGTATTTTTCCTTCAGAGGTAAGGGAAGAACTTCCACTACAGAGCAAATATACCAGAACAGTGGGAGACAAAAAATAAACTCAGCTCTAACATAACATCCCAAGAGTCCTTCCTGTTCAGTATATTTGCTTGTTTTCTTCAGTGAGGAAAGCCGGCTTCCAGATGTGACTCTCCCATTATTTATATTGTACAGGGCAATGCTCATCGTTTTTGGAGCTCAGTGTTCTTATCTGCGAAATAAGGGTTGGACCAGCCCTAGATGAATCCTTTCAGTGCTGGTAATCTGTAAATCTTTCAAGAAGGGTCATGTTTCTTTGTGAATCTTTGGCAATGTTGCACAGGATAACTGCTATAGCCTTGGGGTAACTTGTATATAAACGCTGTGGGAATGATTCAGTGTATCCCCACCCTCACCTCTAAGAGATTCCCTGGGTGCTTCCTGACTATCCATGCCTCTCTTTTGCCCTTAGAAGGAGCTGAGGTAGAGAGGCTATGCATGAGGTTTCACATTTATCTGGCTAGGAGTTAGTCTGTTTACTGTTTCCTATAGCTGTGGTGTCCAAGGCTAAAGTGTCCTCCAGTGCCGTTGCTTTTGTCTCCCCTATTGTCTTTGCGTTTCCCCAAAGACTCCTTAAATAGGGTCTTGAGGGCTTCCCTGGTGGCGCAGTGGTTGGGGGTCTGCCTGCCGATGCAGGGGACATGGGTTCGTGCCCCGGTCCGGGAAGATCCCGCATGCCGCGGAGCAGCTGGGCCCGTGAGCCATGGCCGTTGGGCCTGCGCGTCCGGAGCCTGTGCTCCGCGGTGGGAGAGGCCACAACAGTGAGAGGCCCGCGTACCGCAAAAAAAAAAAAAAAAAAAAAAAAGGGTCTTGAGGCTTGCAGCTCTTAATCCATATTCCCCTGTCATGGCCCAGGAGCTCTGTCCCGTGGTGGTGAGGTGTGGGGAAGGGAGGCATCTACAGTCCTACGATTAGGTCTCAGTCTTTTACTGAGCCTGTCTCGGGCATTTCCCATCCCCCACGTTGAGGACTAGAAGGGGCTGGAGTTGGGACTTCTCTTCAGCCTGGTCGTTGAGGCTTTCCCTTGAGTGTGGTCCTTGCTAAGGAGAACAGAATGCTCTGGGTATATTTCAGAATGTTTGTTTCCCCTCCACCTGCCAGAAACACAAGGGGATTTTTCTCCAATCTTCACAGAAGAACCTGGCAGAGCTCCTGGAGGTAAAACTCCTGAAAGTGGGGGGGTCTCCCTGAGGCGGGGATGCCAGGAGTTTCTAACCCTCAAGGCACCCACACTGAGCCTCCAGCAGCTTGCCAATTACCCCTTCAAGTGTTCGTATCCATATTGACTGCAGCCTTCTGCTCCTGGGCTTCGGTTCCCAGGAAGATGTGACCCACTGTCTCCACCTGTCTGTCTTTCCAGGTTTAGGGGCGATAGCTGGCCTGTGACCTCAGTTCTCTGATGGATCTAAGAAGAGTTGTCAGCCTTCACTTTGTTCAACCTTTTTCTTGCTGTGAAGACAGGAATGAGGACTTTCACACTCTTCACACGTCTGACCAGAAACCAGAAGCCCCCTCACTGATTTGGGTAAATAAACTACATGAAATCACTGACAGTCGACAATTTTTTGTCCCACAAAATGGCAATTTCATAGTTTCAACCAAACTCAGACAAATGAAGTGCAGCGAGATTGCCAGACTTGAGATTCAGAGTGTGTTGTTATAGGCGACTCTGAAATTATTTTAAAGATTTTTTGGGTGATGTTTTGTATTAAAATTCAGTTTTATAAATCTCTAAAGGAACTTTTCAATTTTTTTTTTCTCAAATTTTCAATACTGCTTCACAGGGATTCTCACGCCAAGTCCTTCAAGCCATACCTGACACCTATTTTACTTAGTAATTATAATCGCTTCCAGCACTTTCTACTTTGCACAGATTTCCACATATATTTTCTCAAAGGTGGGTAGAATCAACATGGTCTGCAGGTATCTTAGTCTCAAGAATCAAAACTCTGTCACGGCAGTGGGGCCAGTACAGTGATGCTCTCCTGTGATAGATATTTGTGGAGGACGTGCGTTTGCAAACCTTAATCCACGTATGTATCCAAGAAATGTAACTGTTTTCTTACTTTAGCTTAATTCTGATTTGGGATTTCCATTTGGAGGGGACCAGCAGAAAGTTCCATTTCTATCATTACAAATGTCCCCCTCCCCTCTCTGACACACAAATAGTACTGAGAATGGTACTCAGAAGGGAGAAGGATTCATACGTGCTTCTCAGTGCATGCTGGCTGCCTCGTGACATAATTCTCTGAGCCCGTGGTCCCTAGAGGTGAGCTGCTCCCCGCTCTCAACCCAAGAAGACCACCTTCCTCGTTTGCTGTGAAGCCTGGTGTGTCTAGTTACATCACGTGGATTCCTCCAGAGGTGCTGGGGTGTGGGTCTCCGGGACACTTGGAATGATCTCACTACAGAAACACAGGGAAGGAAGGAAGGAAGGAAGGAAGGGGGGGAGGGAGGGACGGAGGAGAAAACAATAAGAACAACAGAAAGTGTCTCTTTCTTCCCTCCCTGGGACACAGAACACATTGCCTTTAGTGATCGCCAACCCCTGTGAAGGGAAGGTAGCAACCTTGTCCTCCATCAGCTTCTGCTTTCTGCTCTGTCCAAAGTGCCTGAGGCAAGGTCAGCACCCAGCAGCTAGGAACACCAGCGGGAAACCGAAAGAAGAAACCCATTGTATTTTTTTTATTTTTTATTTTTTTAACATTTTTATTGGAGTATAATTGCTTTACTATTTGTGTTAGTTTCTGCTTTATAACAAAGTGAATCAGCTATACCTATACATATATCCCCATATCCTCTCCCTCTTGTGTTTCCCTCCCACCCTCCCTATCCCACCCCTCTAGGTGGTCACAAAGCACCGAGCTGATCTCCCTGTGCTATGTGGCTGCTTCCCACTAGCTAGCTATTTTACATTTGGTAGTGTATATATGTCCACGCCACTCTCTTACTTCGTCCCAGCTTACCTTTCCTCCTCCCCGTGTCCTCAAGTCCATTCTCTACATCTGTGTCTTTATTCCTGTCCTGCCCCTCGGTTCTTCAGATCCTTTTTTTTTTAGATTCCATATATATGTGTTAGCATATGGTATTTGTTTTTCTCTTTCTGACTTACTTCACTCTGTATGACAGACTCTAGGTCTATCCACCTCACTCCAAATAACTCACTTTCATTTATTTTTATGGCTGAGTAATATTCCATTGTATATATGTGCCACATCTTCTTTATCCACTCATCTGTCACTGGACACTTAGCAGAAACCCATTTTAAATGCTTCAGTAAATGACCCTGCCACGCATCCAATACGTCCGCTAGGAAACCAAAACCTACCCATGATAATGTCTTCATTTGATCTGAGGCGATTTAATTCCTGGAAATTCTTTCCTTAATTTCCTAGATTTGACTATTAATCATAGAAGGCATGCAATGAATGACGCAACACAAATGAATCAGCAGAATGATACTGAAAGTTCAGTGTCTTCGGGGGAAAAAAGTCATCTGAAGACAAGCACGTTACAACACGGGATTCAAGAAAGTGGGGAAAATGTAATAAATGTTGCCTCGAAATTAAGACAGAGCTGTACACACAGAATTATCATTCTTTTAAGTAGATGGCGCAATTCGGATAAAAAGAAGGCTCTGAGGTGGCTTCAGACAGAAAGTGACTGTGAACGTGAGAGCGCTGAGAACAAACAGTAAGGAAATGAAATAAGGAATTAAGAGTGAAGCCTTCAGTGTAACTCAAACAATGACTTTATCGAACAAGCTATAGATATTATGCTGGAATTGCTATTGAGTGTGAGTCTGTAGGGGTTGAAAGGTGTTTCTTAATCCAGACGGGAGCTGCTTTCCACTAGTTCAAGTTTACATCAGATGACCTTAGCTGAGTGTAATTTTAAAGTTATCTAATACCAATCATGATCAGTCATCCATGATCAGTATCCCAGTGTCCCACAAGACCTAGGGATTTCTTTTTTTTTTCTCATTTACTGACATGTACCTACCTCTTCTTTTCCTGCCTTTATTTCTGTAGTTGGCAGGCATTTATTAGTTGGCATAATTATGAAATTATTCAGTAGCCCAGAAATCCACTGAAGCATGTGATTCTTATCTTACATTTCCACTGGATAACAACCTTTGAAGTCTTGCTACCAGATATGACAAAAGTCCAGTCAGAGCAAAAATCTGTCTTAGAATGCTTTCAGGGTAGCCGGATAAGGTAGAAGAGAGTCTCTGAGGCTGAGGCAGCCCAGCTGAGACAGTGAAGTCATTCATGCAGTAAGGTAAGGCCCTGTGAAGGGTTAGATTTCCTGGAGCAAAAGAGCCGACACATACACACGCTCGCGCGCGCACACACACACACACACACACACACACGCACACACAGACCAGTTCCATTTCTGGTAATATGGCAGACGGGATATTCAGATACACCTTTTTAAGTATAACTTACCTAAAAATGCTAGATGTATATTTATATAAGCATAGATGTGTATATAGATAGATGATTGCTAGACGTATATAACATTTGGTCTTTGGAAAGGTCCTTTCCTCAATTACTTACCTAAGATGGGAAACTCAGTGATTTATTCTCTGAATTAGTGCATGTCCTCAATATCTTTCTTTCACCCTAACAGGTAAACGACTGAAATGCCTGATATAGGATTCTTGGGAGTTTCTTGCACTAGCCTAAATGTACGAATCCACAGACCTCTAGCTTCTGGTGTTGCAGGTAAGAGATCCAAGAGCAGTCAAAAAAGGGAAATCCTGGAACTTGTTTTACCAGGTTATGCCTAAGTGTGCGCTTGTCGCCTCAATCCAGCCAAGGATTCTGAGCCTTCTTACTCTGAAAACTCAGGTCTTTCTTTGGCTTGGGAAAATTTTCTCCTGTTATTTAAAATTATTTCTTCTACTTCTTCTGTCCTTCTTCTTTTAGAATGTATATTATTCAAATGATAGGAATCCTGCATCCATTTTCCAAATCTTTCTCCTTTTCCCTCATGATTTCCATCTCTTTGCATGTTTTGCTCTGGGATTTGTGATGTTGATGGTCCTTGACTTTCTAGGCCACGAATACAATCCTCCTCAGCTACCATCTACCCGCTTGATTCATATGCTGAATTGGTAAGGTTTTTTGAGCTCTAGGAAGACTTTTTAAATTTTATTTGTTGTCCTATAGTTTTGTTCTTAAGTGCTCTTTTTAATTTTAGTTTTTAGGAACCCATTTGTCTGCTCCAGTAGGTCTGTTCCATTGGGTGTAAGATCTGAATGTTGTTTCTATGTGTTCTCTTTGGCTTCTAGACACCTTTAGATCCAAGATTCTTCTAGATCCCCTCCCTGTGGTCCTGGTGTAGAAACTGACAATCCCCCTCTAAGACATCCAGAGGAAGCATCCTTGATCTCTCATCGTCTTGGGCTCTCCCGGCGCCCATGGCAAGGAGGGCTTGTCCAAACCTTTACGTCCCTTTAGGGAATCCTGGCACAGTCAAGTAGGAAAGAATACATGCTAGGGTTCTGCACATCTTGATTGACAAGCTCTGTTCCATTCTCCAAGCTCACCCAGCTCAGCACCACTGCTTTTGCAAAGAAGAAGCGGGCGTGGGGAGTGACCCATACAGAGAGCCCAAGCCCTCATATACTCCCACTGTAGGTCCTGGCTCTTAAGAGGCAAGTCTCTTGGATTTGGGAGCAGAGGGAAAGGGAATCTCACTTGGATCACATTCTGAAAATCCGCTGCCCAAGGGTTTCTTTCTGTAAAATGAGAAAATTTAGACTAGTGTTAGATCATATTTAAGGGCTCTTTCAACTCCCCAGATCTATAAATCAGAGATTAGATAAAACATATTCACGACTGTGATAATTCATGGGATTAGAATGTGTCATGAAAGGAACACTTTAGGTCGACTGTTTTTGAGAAAAAAAAGTTTTTGAGCTGTAATGCTTTTATGAAAAACCAACAAATCAGAAGATAGGAGATTGAGCATGGAGCTGGATGGCGAGATCCTCCAAGCTTTCAGATCTCTTAATTCTGATCATATATTGAATATAAAATGTTTTCTTCCCGTAACCTAGGATAGTGCTTCTCTAACTTTACGTACGAATCACCGACGGTGTAGGTTCTGATTCAGTAGGTCTGGGGGAGGGCTGGAGATTCTGTATTTCTTACCAGCAGGGATGCCCACCCTGCTTGTCCGTGGTTCACATGTTAGCAGCAAGGCCTGGAGGATTTGCAGTGGTGAGTAGACCTCTGGCGGCCATTAGTAGAAATGTACAATCATTTTGTCATACAGCTGTAACTTCTTTTTCTGGGAATGTTAAAAAAAATACCCCCCCAAAAGCCAGCAACTGATCTGTCTCTAACTGACATTATAAAGGCAAAGCCAAGATAGTTTATTAATTTGGACTCTATTAATCTGGAATTTTGTGTCATTCCAGAGAGGCCACATTGCCAGCAATAATCAAAGACGGGGTGTGTGTGTTTAGTCCATTAAGTGCTAAAGCAAATGCATTAAAACAGAAGAAGAAACGAAGGAGTTACAAATGATTAGTCTTTATTTTATTAAAACAATTTTTAAAATCTTCTAAGGCTTTAACTTTGATTCTCCTATCCTTGTCAAGGGTTGCCATAAATTACATTTTTAGGAAGTCCTCACTGATTCAGGCTCTTTTCTGAATCAGACTAGCCCACTCCTTTTTTCTTTCTTTAGAAATTTATTTATTTATTTATGGCTGCATTGGGTCTTCGTTGCTGCACGTGGGCTTTCTCTAGTTGCGGCCAGCGGGGGCTACTCTTCGTTGTGGTGCACGGGCTTCTCATTGCGGTGGCTTCTCTTGCTGCGGAGCACAGGCTCTAGGCATGCGGGCTTCAGTAGTTGTGTCCCACAGGCTCAGTAGTTGTGGCTCATGGGCTCTAGAGCGCAGGCCCAGTAGTTATGGCACATGGGCTTAGTTGCTCCGCAGCATGTAGAATCTTCCCGGACCAGGGCTTGAACCTGTGTCCCCTGCATTGGCAGGCAGATTCTTAACCACTGCGCTACCGGGGAAGTGCCTAGCCTACCCTTTAGTTAGGAAAAATGAGGGCAGGTTTTTTTTTTTTTTGCGGTAAGTGGGCCTCTCACTGCTGTGACCTCTCCCCTTGCGGAGCACTGGCTCTGGACGCGCAGGCTCAGCAGCCATGACTCATGGGCCTAGCCGCTCCGTGGCATGTGGGATCTTCCCGGACCGGGGCACGAACCCGTGTCCCCTGCATCGGCAGGCGGACTCTCAACCACTGCGCCACCAGGGAAACCCCTAGCCTACTCTTTAATCAGGAAAAATGAGGGCAGTTTTATAGTAGTTTTCAATTTCTCAGTCTTTTGGCTCCTCTCTGTCTATGTTTCTCAAACAGAAAATAAAAAGTACAATGTTGTTTGACTAACTATTGTCAGTGGCTCAAATTAAACAAAAATCTACAAATGTTTGAAAGGTATCCAATTTTGGAAACCATTTTTTCTATTTTTTTTTGAACTACAAGTATATTTTGTATTTTGAATGTCAATAGACACATTTCCTGGCTTTGCCATAGTAAATAGATAAATGTTCCAGAAATTATCCTTTTTTTCCAGATAACACAAGTAATATCACTCTAGGAAGGAAGATAAACATCCTACACCACCATGTGCTTATTCTCACAGTTGAAGCTCATCAAAGTGAAACAAACTTGCAAGTTGATATTAATACCAACTTGATATTGTTATAAACCTCTGGCCTCATATACAACTCAGTATCACTAGTCCTGAGCTGTTACTGGAAAATTGTCCATTGGCTCATGGAAATTTTCCGAGTTTAGTCATGCTCCAGTGACCTTGCATTTGGATACCAAATGAAACCCCAAAGCAGGTCTTTTCCTTTGCTGGCTTCCACAGCATCATCACATCCATTTATGTTATAAGAGTTATACAGATTTTATATATTGTAGGAAGTTATATATGATTATTTAAACCTTTTGTTAATCAGCTTTATAAAACCATCTAGAATTATTACAACTAATGACCTGGACTTGACAGTTATGGAGAGAACTCTCTGTGCAGATCATTTCAAAGAGTCCTGTTCTGGGGTTTAGAGGTTGGGCAGGCTTTCTCAGTAAAGTTTTGATGGGAAGTGCAGGTAATGGTTAATTACAAATATTTCCATATCCTTAGCGTTTCCAAAACTACACAAAATTTCATATGCATCTCTGACTCAGGGATCCACATGTGGTTTGTATATGTAACCAGACATTACCTGGTAAAGTCTCTGATGACTTTAATTCACTAAATGAGAGAAAAAACTATTCCTCTACTCTCTACTCACAACACTTTTGACACCAGACGTGTAGGATTTTTTCCCACATCGACCAACTCTCTGACGCCAGGTAGCTGACCTACAATTCAATTTCAGGTGTGGCACCGTCTACCTGGAGTCAGCATCAGAGCCATAGGTTAAGGGATCCGTCTCCCAAAACAGACCCCACTTCAGATGCCAGTCCTAAGTAGTGGGTCCCTAGGTCAGTTACACTTCTGTCCAACTTGGCTACAAATTGGGGGTTCCAAGACTCCCTCCTCTGGTTCAATAATTTGTTATAACATCTCACAGAACTCAGGGAAACACTCACATTTACTAGTTTATTATCTAATAAAGGATATGATAAAGGATACAAATGAACAGCCAGATGAAGAGACACATAGGGCGAGATCAGAAGGGCCCCAAGCTCAGGAGCTCCTGTCCCTGTGGGTTTAGGGTGCATCACCCTCCTGGCACGTGGATGTGTAGAAGCTCTTTTACACTGTAGTTTAGGGATTTTTATAGACGCTTCATCATGAAAACGGGATTGGTTATTAACTCAGTTTCCAGCCCCTCTCCCTTCCCTGGTGGATGAGGAGTGCAGATGAAAAGTCGAAGCTTCTAACCATCGCTTGGTCTTCCTGGTGACCAGCCCCAGCCTCTGGAGGAAGCCACTAAGAGTCACCTTATTAGGACAAAAGACACTCCTATCACCCAGGAAATTCCAAGGGATTTAGGAGCTCTGGGTCAGGAACTGGGGTCAGAGGCCAAATATGAGGATAAAAGATGCTCCTAGGGACTTCCCTGGTGGTCCAGTGGTTAAGAATCTGCCTTCCAATGCAGGGGACGCAGGTTCGATCCCTGGTCAGGGAACTAAGATCCCACATGCCGCAGGGCAACTGAGCCAGAGCACTGCAACTACTGAGCCCGCGTGCTCTGGAGCCCGTACATCACAACTAGAGAGAAGCCCGTGCACCGCAACAAAGATTCCCATGTGCCAGCAACTGAGACCTGACGCAGCCTAATTAATTTAAAAAAAAGAGATGCTCCTAGCACATTTATCACTTAGGACATTACAAAGATTTGGGGAGCTCTGGCCAGGAGCCCAGGACAAAGACCAAAATATATGTTTATTATCATATCACAGTGTTGCACTAACCTCATCAGTTAGACTACATTAGAAATATCTGCCCTAAGGTTAGCCCAGCCAGCAGCAGATTTTGTTCACCTGCAGTTCATAACACTTCTTTGTAACAAGGTATAAGAAAGGAATAGAACCTTACTTGATATCTACTAAAATTCAAGACACCAGTTATCTTTGTTTTTTTCCCCAATTTATTTATTTATTTATTTTTGGCTGCGTTGGGTCTTCGTTGCTGCACGCGGGCTTTTTCTCTAGTTGCGGCGAGCGGGGGCTACTCTTCATCGCAGTGTGTGGGCTTCTCATTGCGGTGGCTTCTCTTGTTGCGGAGCACAGGCCCTAGGCACGTGGGCTTCAGTAGCTGTGGCTCGCGGGCTCTAGAGCCCAGGCTCAGTAGTTGTGGCGCATGGGCTTAGTTGCTCTGCAGCATGTGGGATCTTCCCGGACCAGGGTCCCCTGCATTGGCAGGCAGATTCTTAACCACTGCGCAACCAGGGAAGTCCCAGTTATCTTACTTTTTAAAACCTAATTTATTGTTTTTATAAAGGTAAGTCAAATATATCCCCTTCTTGTCTTTCAGTCTGTGGAGCTCTTCCATCGAGTGGGGACAGAAAACCCAAAGGTAATCATTGGAGCCACTGTTCAAGGTGGAATTGGAAGCAGACAGTTCCATATGCCAGCACCCAAAGGAAAAAGGAAAGAATCAAATATAAAACAAATATATGATTTGCTACCAAATCACGCACAAAAAACAAAGTATGTATACTCTCCCGTATCTGTGTACCCGCTGTGACAGCCATAGCAGTCATTTGAAAAATGGAAGTATTTATGGAATCTGTGATTTCAGACTTGGAATAGGGAAAGAGATAAAAATAAGATGCAGCTGAGGGCAGCCTCGGGGCGATTCCACCTCCAGGAGGAAGGGGCTGACACCAGCCTGAGGCTCTTCGTACCCCAAAAATTGAGTACTTCACTTTGATTCATTACATTTATTTACTTCTAAAAACCAGAAATACATCTAAGATATGTTTGAGGGTTAAATGCGTATTAATAATTCACACAGCAGGTGGAATCAATTCAATCAGATCCCTTTCCCCACCCTCTCCAGAGCCCTGCAGGACCAGTGGTGTGCACAGGGTCCAAGGAGATAAGGTAGATTCTCCACCAGAATCCTCTTCGGTAATCGCCTTCCTGGGTCAGGTGGGGCTGGCAAAGGGCCCCACTTGGTGCAGGGGCTGGGATGGGGCAGAGGAATGAGGGTTTTCTGTCGCTGGAAGTTCTGATGCAATCACAGACAGGTAAACGCTGAAAGTCAAGTCCCCGAAGAAATGCAAGTCAGAGCCCAAACCAACATTCTAAGCCGGGTCAGCAAGCCTGGGGGCCAAGTAACAAGTGGGAGCTAAGGTAAGGCGCCAAATGGGTTAGCAAAACAAGAGAGAACAGCTGAACGGGAGTATCAGGCAGGGCCCAAGGAGGCAGCGATTTGAGGTCAGGCTGACTGCACTGCGAAGCACCTAAGTGGTTCAGAATGAACCCCCCACCCCCGACCCCCAGGCTTTCTCCTGCAGGGCCTCCCTAGATTTGCCTGGTGGAAGGCTCTGGAGAAGTCTGGAGCTTGCATTTCTAAGGTGGTAGGAGGTTCCCATGGTCACAGTGCATTAGCTACCGGAGCCCTTATGGGGATCGAGTGTTCAAGGTCGGCTGTTTGTGGCAGGCTGGGGGCAGCAGAGATCTGTGGAGCATGGTCGGGTGGAAGCTGAGGACAGGAGGCCGTGGGGTGAAGCTTCAAGGGCCCGAGTGGACCTCTGGTTTCTGATGCGTTCGGTCTGGAAGATTCTGAAGGAGACCCAGGCATCTTCCACTGAGATGTCCTCTTTCAGGGCTGGACAGCTATCCGTTTATGACTTTTTTTTTTTTTTTTTTGCGGTACACTGCCGTGGCCTCTCCCGTTGCGGAGCACGGGCTCCGGACGCGCAGGCTCAGTAGTTGTGGCTCACGGGCCCAGCCGCTCCGCGGCATGTGGGATCTTCCTGGACCAGGGCACGAACCTGCATCCCCTGCATCGGCAGGCGGACTCTCAACCACTGCGCCACCGGGGAAGCCCCTATGACTTATTTTGACCCTCAGCATACTAAAGGGTTTTCCAGAGGTCTTTCCGGGTGTCACATCTCCTCCTGCTGCCCCGCCCCGAGCGCCTGCCCTCGGCCAGGCTTATTCTTATGGAGTGGGGTACTCCTGGGGAACGAGTACAGTGGATTTTTATACCAAATGCCACTGAGTTGAGTTGAATGCACTGGTTCTTTCTGTTTCTCTAGAACTACAGAAGCTTCCCCCACTGCCCCTTCACCAAGTTAATATTGATTAATTATTGGTAGAAGTCAAGCCCAGGAATAAACACTTTACATGTGATTCTCACTGAATCCGTCCATGCTCTAGAGCAGACCCTCCCAAGCATCCAGGACCCCTTTCTTCCTCTCCAGAGGAAGCCTGTCAGGTACTGCAGAGCGACGGAGCCATTGCGGACAACGACACAGCCCTTTACCACCTACTTGGAGTCTTGTGTCTTGTTTAAGAAAATGTTATTTTGAGTTTTCCATCACTCACAGCCAAACCTAATCCATACCGACTAGCAAGGTCTGCAGGACTAGGCTGTGAAAACTCTAAAAAGATCGGACAGTGAGAATAACCGAGCCTATGAGAATGCAGGAAAAATAGCGCTCCATTAGCCTACCACCCTTGAAAATTTGAAGTTATTTTTATGACTTTGTAGAGAAAATTCCTACATTCTACTTTTTATAGGTCGACAAGGGGCTGGCCCTGAAGAACTGGGTGCACTGCTGGATTTGCATTGTCCTGTGTCACGGGCGGTGGCGGGGGGGTAGTTTGTGTACCTTGAGGGAGGTGCCTGGGTGCCCGTTCCACATGCTTATCTGGCTTATCTCATTAGATCTCTTTGACTGAAACTCTCACAAAGTCTCAAATCGAAGCCCAAAATCACCTCTTAACCCAAAACAGTGATTAGCTTCATAAATGAGGTTTGGTGGCAGATTCCAAGGGCTGCTTAATATAAGGAACTATTCAAGTGAGGGAATTATATGATGGGTAGTTATATATAATACAGATAAGAGTAACGCACTGTGACCCATCCCACCAACATTAGCCTTTTTCTACATAAAATATTCATGCAGTCACTTTATTAAAAAAAAGTTTATAAAGCGTCTGTGAAATTATTTTGTGAATTGTCTATCCTTTGACCGTATATCAGTTGGGGTTTTCCTGTGTGTTATAGCCTTTTGTGGGAGGGCCTTCTAAATCCAGGATTGTAGCAGAATTAATTCTGATGCATTTTAATGCCATTCTCCATTGTTAGTCATTGTCAGAAAATTACAAATATTCTACGTTGGGTACTGTCAAGTGTTATGCATCATAGTTCCACATGAAAAATCTTCTGCTGATAATTACTAGTGAGGCTTGGTTCACTTGATGGGGTTCATGGAGCTCTATTGACTTGGGGCTAATTAAATTGTTGCCTGCTGCGTTTGAGATTCGGCCACAGAAACATGCCCATAATTAGCGCAGCCTTTGTGCAGGAGGCCTGAGGTGGACTGAGACCAACTTAGTGCTTGCTTAGTGCCTCTGTGTTTGCTGGGGGTGGAGGTGGGGAAGTGAGATGGCTGCACAGGCATGAACGTTGTATACATTCTAAAACTTAAAACATCATAAAAGGCATCCAAATCCGAAGGGCTATAGATCTTATTCTGAGCCACACCATTTAAGTTGTTTTGCAGCTACTGAAACCCCCGCCAGGTGGGAGAAGTTAACTGTATGCTGCCCACAAGCACTTAGACCCCAGACCAGTTGGAACCAGGTTGATGATGTTGATCTTGATTACCTCACCACCAACCAATCAGAAGAATGTCCAGGAGCTGATCACACACCCCACAACGCCCCTCCCTCATCCTGTCTTTATTTTTATTTTTATTATTATTATTTGTTTGCGGTACGCGGGCCTCTCACTGTTGTGGTCTTTCCCGTTGCGGAGCACCGGCTCCGGACGCGCAGGCTCAGCGGCCATGGCTCACGGGCCTAGCCGCTCCGCGGCATGTGGGATCTTCCCGGACCGGGGCGCGAAACCATGTCCCCTGCATCGGCAGGCGGACTCTCAACCACCAGGGAAGCCCCTCATCCTGTCTTTAAAACCCATTCCCTGAAAGCCTTCAGGGAGTTTGAGTCTTTTAAGCACTGGCTGCCCTGGACTCCTTGCTTCGCCCTGCAACAAACGCTTTCCACCACTTGGCTTTACTGCCCATGGGCAAGCAGACTCAAGTTTGGTAACATCTGCAGCAATAGGGATGGAACCGGAAATTATCACACTAAGTGAAGTAAGTCAGAAATAGACAAATACCATAAGATACCATACAGTACTGTACCATATGATATCACTTAAAATATGGCGCAAATGAACTTATCTACAAAACCGAAACAGACTCACATAGAGAACAGACTTGTGGTTGCCAAAGGGGGCGGGCAGGGAAAGGGATGCACTGGGAGTTCCGTGTTGGTAGATGCAAACTATTATATTTAGAACAGATAAACAACAGGGTCCTACTGTATAGCATGGGAAACTATATCCAGTCCCCTGGGATAAACCATAATGGAAAAGAATATTAAAAAAGAATGTCTCTGTGTATAACTGAGTCACTGTGCTGTACAGCAGAGACTGGCACAACATTGTAAATCAACTATACTTCAATTAAAATTAAAGTTTAAGAAGCCTTAAGTATGGCTGACCAACCCTAATTTGACCATGAGTGTGACAGGGACCCTGAATCGGCTGAGCGTCTGCTGTCCCACTGCAGGAGGGGCGCGGGGTCCCAGGCGCTAGTACCCAGTGAGAACCCGGAGGGAGAGGGATGCTAGGCACCACAGCCGGGTCTGCAGCCCCTCTCGCTCCCCGCGGCTCTTCCCAGTGATTGGGCGGCGCCAACTCCCAGAGCGCCCTGCCCACCCCGCCCACCCCGCCCACCCCGCCCACCGGCGCAGGCTTCCCCAGTTCGCGGCGCGAGCGCGAGTTAAAGCCGCCTGGGCGGCCCGTGCGGCTCCGCCTGCCCGTGGCGTCTTCGCGCAGCGCGCCTCGCGCCCGGGTCCCCGCGCTGTCTCCTCGCGGCCGTGGGACTCTGGTCGCTCCTTCGGCTCCTGCCGCCCGTGCTGGCAGCAGTGGGCGGCCTCGGAGGCTCCGCGACCGGTGAGTGGGGCCCGCGGGTGGGGCGCCCCGGGAGGGACCGTATCCCGCTCTGCAGGCTGCGGGTCGCGGGGCTGCCCGGCTGCCGGGCGGGGGCGGAGGAGAGCTTGGGGCGCCCCTCGCTGGGTGTGCGCGGCTTGTCCCCCGTCCTGCGGTGACCTTTTGTCTGGGAGGGCGAGGGTACACTGTCTTGAGGGGCCCCCTGCTTCTCAGCCCTTTACTCCTTAACAAGCCTGCCTGGTGGGTGGGCTCAGCGGATGGATTGGATGTCTTTTCCTCTCTGGCCCTCAGGCCGGTGAGAAAGGAAGCTCGTTCCGCACCTGAGTGCAGGGCGCACACTCCCTTCTAGGTTCTTCCTTTCCCCAACATCCAAGGGAGTGGAATTGGCTTTCTAGCCCTGGTCTCTGATGGGCCCGCAGCCCAGGTTTAACCAGACAGCAAATTTAGCCTCTTGGAGGCCCGGGACCTTGAGAAGAGGTGCTTCCCTCCAGAAACAGCCCGGGGGAAACGGAGCTTGGGCCCAGGTGCGATTAGCAAGCAACTTCCAGCGGCGCTTGTTAATACCACTCAGGTGCAGGCGGACCCCAAGGCAGAGGAGAGCTGAGTCGGGGTCCCAGGGTGACCGAGACACCCAGAGTTCCCGTAGGGCTGGTGGCTGGTGACCTGGGCAGGTGCAGGAGGTGCCCAGTGTTTGTCAAACGACCTGGCCTGCAGGATTGCCCATCTCTCCTGACAGGTGCTCCCAATTGGCCCTCATGGATGGAGGCAGATTTTAACTCATTTTTTAACTCATGCAGACACGTTGTTGGTCAAGGTACTGTTAACTGGTTTGCAGGAGATGTCACTTAGTCTCTGAGCTGTTTGCCCTCCAGGAGGGATTCTGACCCTCAGGGTTTTTGCCTAACCTGGTGGGGCGTCTCTGCAGCAGGAAGCCCTTGCCCTGGGTGGTCTGTTTGCTCCACCCCAGAAACAGGGTTTAAAGTTACTTGCCTTTTTCACTAAGCAGTGTTCGCCCAGGCCTTCTGGTATGAAGACATCTTTGTGATGTCTGTTGTAGAACAGCCCGTGATCATTACACTTTGTATATTGACAGACTCGGAGAAAGCTACCATGAACTTAATATGTAAATAGATTAATAAATACATTTTAAATTTATTCACAGCAAGTATGTACCTAAATTTGAAAAGTAATGTTTGAGACCCATCTACAGATGGTGTTCAGAATCCATGTGCACACTGGGTCTCCAGACTGAGAATCACCAGGGCAAATAGTGTTCCAGGTGGGCCTCGCCTAGCAGTGTGAGTCTTTGAGGGTTGACTGCAGCCCTAACTGGGACCCTTCTGGAAGGATCTGCTAGAAGAGGTCGCAGAAGAGCTAACACTTTGGGAGCACTTGTTTGGTGGGTATTGTGCCCAGTGACTTTGTACTCTTTTAATCCTTGCATTTTCCTCTTAGAACCACTTATTTACTAGCCTCACTTTACAGACAAGAAAAACTGAGGTCCAGAGGGAGGCAGTAACTCTCCCGAGGTGATGTTGTTAGTACGTGGTCTAACCAGAACTCCAACCTAGTAATTAGCCTGACGACTGAGCCCGGGGTCCCATCTTAGGGGTTGCTGACCTCACTTGCTCGCAATTGAATGGTTTTGGTCAAGTCAAGTGGGATTGCCTGGATGGTATGTGAGTAGCTGGCAAAGTTGTTAGCTATTCATTAATAACCAGTGCCTCCTGAGTCTTTCACTTATAATGCAATTTATAAGCCAGTCTTTAAAATCAAACACTGAGTAACTATGCTAAAAGCACTATCTTAGAGGGATGCAAGTAAGACTGAGGTCTGGTTCCTTACCAAAGAAGGTGTAGTCTACGCAGTGGGCTTCCATTGTCAACTCCCATCACATAGCTTTGCACACGACTTTCCATCCCGTATGCACACACTGTCCCTGGGGTAGGATTGCTGGGTCTTCACTGCGTCTTACGGAGACTTCTGCCAAATGGGACATGTGGCTTATGTTTTCTCGGAACCAAGGATTGGCTTTTTCTCTTTGAAAGTTAGGCAAAATAGTAAACTAAGTATAACCAGACCTTCTCTGAGCACCACATCCATAACAGGCTTATTTTTGACCATTAATCGTTCAGGGTTGAGAAACACAAGTTCATGATTTGAATAAAGCTGATAATATAAATCAGTATCCTGCAAATAACAGAAAACTTAAGTATTTATAACCAGGCTATTAGAGGTATTCTTATAAAGATGGTATATAGGACCCCAAACCGTAACTTCATTTGAAGCTGTATCGACCCATGTTTAAAAGGAAACTAAAGTCAAGTGCTTTGAGCCTAGACCTCTAAACTTGCAACGCTTCATACTCTGAGTCTGTAAGACCGAATCAGGCCTAGAAGATAGTAGTATCTTTTTAAGCACAAGTGTAAGTCTGAGCCATTCTAACAAGACAACGGGGAGGCGAATGACAGCTCTCCAGCAACAACTCCACAGCATCAGAAAGGATGGTCCCCAAGGATCGTCACTGGAGAACCTGCATGGGTTTTCAGGGTACTGAACCCCCTAGCGTTCTCCTAGATGATAGTTGAAGGAAGGTCTTCCAAACAGAACAGTGAAAGCAGCTTACATGAAAAGGTCTCCTGGACCCAAGGAATCCAGGAACTCTGATGGCTTTGCTTCTTGGTCCTTCATTGCAGATGAAATACAGTGTCAGATGACAAGGCAAGCTGCATGTGGTGGGAGATGCATTCCTGTGGCCTGACTCTGCAGTGGAGAGCAGGAGTGCCCGGATGGGGCGGACGAGCAGTGTGGTAAGTGGTCTCACCGCCGTGTCCTGTTGTGTATCATGCACTCACCCACACCTGGCCCTTATTGCTATGTGCCTGGTTGACAGTCAGTTCTCATGGTTTTCACCCTCTTAGGGGGTGTTCGGAAATGTTGGTAGTTCTGGGTGTCTTGGTAGTGTAATTCGATTGTCAGAAGTAGCCTAACCTTTGAAATCAAAGTAAAACTGGTTTAACTCTACTCCACGTTCAGTGGGAGCTCGGAGTGTTCTTTGTCCTCAGCTGCAGCAAACACACACTGCACTGCTCTCCACCTTCAAATTCCTGCTCGTTCCTTTTGGAGCAGTTCAGCTCTCTCCTGCCAAGTTCTGCCTTAGGAATTTCACCATAAGTTCTAAGCTATATCTCAAGGTATTTTTCTCAGGTTAAAAAAAAAAGTTCCATCCCTAAGGGAAATTCTGGCACTGTTAAAATCATTTATTATTTCACCTTGCTGCACTAGTTAAGGCTCATTTGATTATGAGTCGTAGAATCCACATGAAGCTGAGGTAAGCTGGCTTAGGAATCTATCGTAAGGATACTGTGCTTTCTAATGGAACTCAGAGAAGACTACCTGTGTCTCATAGTAAAAACACGTATCTCCGAGGATCAAAGACAATTGCCCCAGGAGGGGAAATCCACACGTGTTAGCCAGGCACCCTCAGAAATGTCTGTAAGATGACCTATTGAGCCCCACAGGATGTGAGTCCATTTCCTCAAAGAGATAAGAGTTCAAGTGGGTCATTGACTATAAGATATATCACATACACAGACCACTTTTATGTATAATCATTTTCAAATTTTTAAAAACATCATTGCGGGGCTTCCCTGGTGGCGCAGTGGTTGAGAGTCTGCCTGCCGGTGCAGGGGACACGGGTTTGAGCCCTCGTCTGGGAGGATCCCGCATGCCGCGGAGCAGCTCGGCCCATGAGCCACGACTACTGAGCCTGCGTGTCTGGAGCCTGTCTCCGCAACAAGAGAGGCCGCGACAGTGAGAGGCCCGCGCACCGCGATGAAGAGTGGCCCCAGTTCGCCGCAACTGGAGAGGGCCCTCGTGCAGAAACGAAGACCAAACACAGCCAAAAATAAATAAATAATTTTTTAGAAAAAGTCATTGCTTTACAAAAACAAACAACTTCTTTTTTAAAATTTTATTTTTTACATTTTTATTTTACTTTGGAGTTCAGTTGGTTTACAATGTTGTATTAGTTTCAGGTGTACAGCAAAGTGATTCAGTTATACATATACATATATTTATTTTTTAAATTCTTTTCTGATTTAGGATATTACAGAATATTGAATAGAGTTCCCTGTGCTATACAGTAGGTCCTTGTTGGTTATCTAATTTAAATATAGTAGTGTGTATATGTCAATCCCAAACTCCCAATTTATCCCTTCCCCTGCCACCTTTCCCCTTTGGTAATCATAGGTTTGTTTTCTAAGTCTGTGATTCTGTTTCTGTTTTGTAAGTAAGTTCATTTGTATCATTTTTTTTATTGAAGTATAATTTATTTATTTTTGTATTATTTGTAATACTTATTTTTTTATTTGTAATATTTATTACAAATAAATATTTATTTGTAATATTTATTTGTAATAAATAAAGTATTTATTATTGAAGTATAATTTATTGAAGTACAATATTTTATTAATTTCAAGTGTATAACGTAGTGATTCGATATTTTTATACATCATAAAATGATCACCATAATAAGTCTAGTTATGATATGCCACAATACAAAGATATTACGTAGTTATTGACTATATTTCCCACACTGTACATTTTATACCTGTGATTCATTTATTTTTTAACTGGAAGTTTGTACCTCTTAACCTCCCTCACCTATTTTCCTAATCCCCCCCTACCCACCTCCCTCTGGCGACCACCAGTTTGTTCTCTGTATTTATGAGCTTGCTTCTGTTTTGTTATGTTTGTTCGTTTTTTAAAAATTTTATTGGAGTATAGTTGATTTACAGTGTCGTGTTAGTTTCAAGTGTACAGCAAAGTGAATCAGTTATACATATACGTGTATCCACTCTTTTTTAGATTCTTTTCCCAAGTAGGCCATTACAGAGTATTGAGTCCCTGTGCTATACAGTAGGTCCTTATTAGTTACCTATTTTGTGTATAGTAGTGTGTATATGTCAATCCCAATCTTCTAATTTATCCCTCCCCGCTCCGTTACCGTAACCCTGGTAACCATAAGTTTATTTTCTACATCTGTAACTCTATTGCTGTTTGGTAGGTAAGTTCATTTGTACCCTGTTTTTTAGATTCCATGTATAAGCGATATCATATGATATTTGTCTTTCTCTGTCTGACTTACTTCACTCAGTATGACAATCTGTAGGTTCATCCATGTTGCTGTAAATGGCATTATTTCGTTCTTTTTTATGGTTGAGTCATATTCCATTGTATATATGTACCACATCTTCTTTTATTTATTTATTTATTTTTGGCTGCATTGGGTCTTTGTTGCTGAGCGGGGGCTCCTCTTCATTGCGGTGCACGGGCTTCTCATTGTGGTGGCTTGTCTTGTTGCAGAGCACGGTCTCTAGGTGCGCAGGCTTCAGTAGTTGTGGCATGCGGGCTTAGCTGCTCTGCGGCATGTGGGATCTTCCCAGACCAGGGCTCGAACCAGTGTCTCCTGCATTGGCAGGAGGATTCTTAACCACCACGCCACCGGGGAAGCCACATCTTCTTTATCCATTCCTCTGTCGATGGACATTTATGTTGCTTCCATGTCCTGGCTGTTGTAAATAGTGCTGCAGTGAATATTGGGGTGCGTGTATCTTTTCAAATTATGGTTTTCTCCAGATATATGCCCAGGAGTGGGATTGCTGGATCATATGGTAATTCTGTTTTTAGTTTTTTAAGGAACCTTCATACTGTTTTCCGTAGTGGCTGTACCAATTTACATTCCTACCAACAGTGTAAGAGGGTTCCCTTTTCTCCACACCCTCTCCAGCATTTATTGTTCGTAGATTTTTTGATGATGGCCATTCTGACCGGTGTGAGGTGGTACCTCATTGTAGTTTTGATTTGCATTTCTCTAATAATTAGTGATATTGAGCATCTTTTCATGGCTTCTTGGCCATCTGTATGTCTTCTTTGGAGAAACATCTGTTGAGATCTGCCCATTTTTTGATTGGGTTGTTTGTTTTTTTGATATTCAGCTGCATGAGCTGTTTGTATATTTTGGAGATTAATCCCTTGTTGGTTGCTTCATTTGCAAATATTTTCTCCCACTCTAAGGGTTGTCTTTTCGTTTTGTTTATTGTTTCCTTTGCTGTGCAAAAGCTTTTAAGTTGAATTGGGTTTCATTTGTTTATTTTTGGTTTTTTTTTCATTACTCTAGGAGGTGGATCCAAAAAGATTTTGCTGTCATTTATGTCAAAGAGTGTTCTTCCTATGTTTTCCTCTAAGGGTTTTATAGTATCTGGCCTTGCATTTAGGTCTTTAATCTGTTTGGAGTTTATTTTTGTACATGGTGTTAGAGAATGTTCTAATTTCATTCTTTTACATGTAGCTGTCCAGTTTTCCCAGCACCATTTATTGAAGAGCCTATTTTTTCTCCATTGTATATTCTTGCCTCCTTTGTTGTAGATTAATTGACAATAGGTGTGGGGTTTATTTCTGGGCTTTCTATCCTGTTTCATTGAGCTATATTTCTGGTTTTATGCCAGTATCATACTGTTTTGATGACTGTAGCTTTGTAGTATAGTGTGAAGTCAGGGAGTCTGATTCCACCAGCTCCGTGTTTCTTTCTCAAGATTGCTTTGGCAGTTTGGGGTCTTTTGTGTTTCCATACAAATTAAAAATTTTTTTGTTCTAGTTCTGTGAAAAATGCCATTGGTGATTTGATAGGGATTGCATTGAATCCGTAGATTGTCTTGGGTAGTATAGTCATTTTGACATTATTGCTTCTTCCAATCCAAGAACATGCTATATCTTTCCATCTGTTTGTGTCATCTTTGTTTCCTTTCATCAGTATCTTATAGTTTTCTGAGTACAGGTCTCTTGCCTCCTTAGGTAGGTTTATTTCTAGGTATTTTATTCTTTTTGATGTGATGGTAAATGGGATTGTTTCCTTAATTTCTCTTTCTGATCTTTCATTTTTAGTGTGTAGGAATGCAAAAGCTTTCTGTGTATTAATTTTGTATCCTGCAACTTTACTGAATTCATTGAGCTCTAGTAGTTTTCTGGTAGCATTTTTAGGATTTTTTGTGTGTAGCATCATGTGCTCTGCAAACAGTGACAGTTTTACTTCTTCTTTTCCAATTTGGATTCCTTTTATTTCTTTTTCTAATCTGATTGCTGTGGCTAGGACTTCCAAACCTATGTTGAACAGAAGTGGCGATGATCTCGGGTGACCTCAGCCTGCAGTGGCTTGAAGCAGGATCTCAGGTCCCAGACCAGAGATTGAAGCCAGTCCATGGCAGTGAGAATGGCGAATCCTAGCCACTCGACCTCGAGGGCCAGTGGCTAGTTCCAAGGCCCTGGGTCATCTGCTTTGTGGAAAAGAATTTCAACAAAGAGACAGAGGTAGTGAAACAAGTAAAGTGTTTATTAGGAGGAAAAAAGTATGTGTGGATAGACACACACAGGCAGGCTCAGAGAGAGTTGCACCCTTGGGGTAGTTCACATCACTTATATGGGGCAGTTCTTCCTGGTTCCCTCTGGCCAGTCATCCTGCTTTGCCTGGCACTGAGTCCATATTTGGTCTAACTCACGGCCCTCCCCTGTGTGTGTGTGTGTGTGTGTGTGTGTGTATCTTTTAGACAAGGTGGATTCCAGCGCAGGGGTTTCTGGGAAGAAGAACATATTATGATCTGGCGCCCTCTCCCTTTTCTGACCTCTGAGGAGCCTTTCTGTTGCATGTGCAGTCGCGAAGGTGTCCTTGACCTCAAGAATGAGAGATACGTGGTCTCTCTATCTTCTCTCCAAGCAGGACTCGGCTCCCCTTGCTTCTGCCATTATGTTTATCCTAGAGTATCTATCCACAGGGGACAGATTCCAGCTGCTCAGCCTGGGACCCATCCATCTCCTGCCTCAAATTCCCCCTGAGAGACGTGGACCCCAAGAAATCTTTATTGGGAAGATAAAGGCCGAAGGTCTGTCTTCTGTAGCTTCTTCAGGCTGGCATGGGGCTTACAGACCCTACCTAACTGGAGCCATGCAACTCTTGCCATGTCTTGCTGAGGGACCCCGGGGTGACTTCTGTTATTCTTGCAGGGTCTTTTCGGGGAGCAGCTGGAATCCATGCATCACCATTACCCTGTTGTGCCCTCGAGGAAGCAAACTGAATAGGGAGATGAGAGGAGCGGGGGCTAAAGACTAGTGACGACAGTTATACTCCGAGACTCAAGCAGGGGTAAGAATCCGGTTATACGTGGTCAGCACATTTTTGTTAATCTCAGGGTTAAAATTTCGCATGTTTCTCCGTTTCTAAAATGGAAGTTCTGAACCTGTTGGTCCCAGCCCTCCTACTTGGGCTGAAAGGTCTTAGTTATAGATTTATAACAGTACGGAAGACAACAAAGCACTAGGCGAAGTATAACATAAATCAGTGTGACTGAAAAGAGGAGGGGTATAAGAAAATGGAAGCCTGTCAGAAAGTTTTTAATACCTTGTGGGATCCAAGAGAACAAACTAGAGAACCAGTCTTCAGTTTTCCCACCCATATTGAATAACGAGGATTGATGGTTAATTGTCTCCTGAAGCCAGGTGGCTTATTGTTGAATTGCTTCAGTGTTGGTTTCTACCTGGGAAGAGGGGTTAACGTACCTGCGACAGGAAGTATTGGCGGTTGCACACACTCCTCCTTGTTCTGCCAATGGATAATCTGGGGCCAATCGGTTGTCAAGTACCACCTTGGCCAGGGAATCTAGAGACTCCGTAAATTAATAAGAGGTTTAGTAGTCTCACTGGCTGTGGTGGTAAGAGTGCGACGCAAGTTTTGAAGGACGTATTGGTGGGCAGCTGTCCCCCAGCCATGGTAACAGTGCATACCCAACGAAATGGGCATCTCCATCTGGGATATTCCCGGGTAAGTTTCGAGTCAATCCAGTGAACGGTTTTAATGAACTGACCCAGTGCTTGGATTCATTTGAGGAGTGGATTGAGAAAGGGGAAATCAATGTTCCCAGCCTACACTGCGTGGGTGTGGAATGATTGTGTAGGCAGTTAGTAGCCCACAGTTGTTTATCTACGTGGCATCCAAAGACATATCCTGTTGGAGCACAATAGACTAACTGGCCTAAGGTTTTAAAGCTTAGCCATCCAATCCTGTCGTTGTGGAAATATTTTCCAACCATACACCCAATGCGCTCCATCCATTCCGTTCTGTCAATTGCTCCACCAGTATGGATCCTTCTTCCATCAGGTAGTGGGTTAGGGTTTGAGCACAGACAGGCAGCTGGACCTCTGGCTTGGGCGAGGGGCATCATGAAACGCTGGGGTGTCTTAATGCCAGTTTTTCATTCCCCAGTTTCGACCTCATGTTCTCTTCTGCTAAGGAAGAGGTAGGCAAGAGACGTGAGAATTGTTTTCTGTGGAAAGATGAACAATTTGACTCTGTACATCACAGCACTGAGTCATGGGTCTTTGAAAGTCCATTTTCCCTCAGGAACTTGGCGAAAATTCTTTACGGGATAGACAAAGAGGTCACTATGGTCGATGACGGGCTTAGCTCTCGGGGTAAGCAAATCCAGCGTCCCGTCAACTGAGGGGAGGAAGCAGGAGTTTGCACGGTGTGAACCTGAGAGTTGTCCGTCTGTCCTGTGGACAAGGGAAAGAGGTAGAGGAAATCTAAAGTAATTAATACCTTCATAGTTGCACCAATTAGAGTTTTGATCTTGAAAAATGACTGGAAAGCAGGAGCATTAAAAGAAGTGTTGTAGGGAGTTGAAAGCCAGTGGTTAAGTATGGGTCCTGAGGTTTCAGGTGAGTCGCACTAAACCGCCCAGCATGGGTAGAGGAGTTCTCTCTCGGGTATAGGCGCAGGACTGCAGCGGCACTCGTGATAAATTGCGAAAGCAAACGCGAGAGCGAGGGGGACAGTTATCATCTAACTCTCCCAGAGCGTGCCAGTTATTCTGTAAGCGGACTAGAGCACTGGAAGGCAGGGAGGAAGCTAGTGGCTGTGGGTACTTGGCCCTGGGTCCAAGAAGTCTCTGTCCTTCCTGAATAGAGCTTTAGGTCTTGGAGGGGCTTCCTCGTCCACCTGGGTTTTTCAGGCTGTCCAGGGTCCTCCGTGTCCTGTGGAGACTTGGGGGAAAGGGGTGGATTCATGGGAATGGCTGGAATGTGGGTCTTCGGGTTCCTGTACCATCAGTGGAGGCAGGTTGAATCCTGGACAGATGGACCCAACTCGTGACTCCCTGGAGCTTAACTGCTGTAGGGGTGCTCAGCAGGACTTGTTAAGGACCCTTCCACTTTGGGAGTAGCTGGGCGCCGGGGGACTCATCTTTCCAGGTCTCTAAGAGCACCCAGTCCCCAGGATTTACCGTGGAGTGACTGGGGCTCTTACCTGGGGAGGGCTGGGTTCTGTTGCCGTATGCTTGTGTCGCCCTCTGGACCTGGCGTAGGTTTATAATGTATTTAAGATGGGCTTGGGTTTCTGGGCCAGTTAGCATGTCCAAGGTAAGGAATGGCCTTCTGTGTGTCATTTCAAAGGGGCTTAACTTAGTGGTTGTTTTAGGGGCTGCCCTGACCCTTAAGGGAGCTATTGGCAGCAGGCGGTACCACGGTTCTGGTTTCCTGACAGTATGCCCACGGTTTTCTTTAGGGTGTGATTAGCCTGTTCTACTTTTCATGAGGACAGAGGTCTCCTGGACGAATGCAGGTGGTATCTGGTCCTGAAGGCCTGTGAGAGCTGCTGGGTAACCCTGGCTTTGAATGAGGGTCCACTGTCACTCTGGAGGTGGCGGGGTAACCTGAACCTAGGAGTGATTTCTTGTATTGATAGAAGTGCTCTAGCCACTTTGGTTGCCTTTTCCGTCCTACTGGGGAAGGCCTCTGCCCATCCAGTGAAAGTGTCTTTAAATACTAATAAGTATTTGAAGCCTTGGAAAGAGGGCACCTGACTGAAACCCATTTGCCAGTCCTCTCCTGGGTAAGTTCCACGTCACTGGGCTGGGCTAACAAGAGGGGGAGGGGGTGCGGCTTGAGGCTGCCTCCGGATTATGGGTGGTACAGAGGGCGCAGGCTCCAGTAACCCTTCTGATTATCCCTGGGAGCCCTTTCCTGTAAAAAGCTGGAAAACCACAGCAGACGTGGCATCCCTCCCCAGATGGAGGAATCATGTGGCCCTTTAATAATTTTCCATCGGTCAGGAAGAGGTACGAGCAATTTTTGATCTATGTGCCACCAGCCATCTATTCCCTTAGTTCCCCCTTGGTCTTGTGACCAGGTCTCTTCGGAAGCTGAGTATCTGGGTGCAATGTTAGAAGGGGCAAGGGATGGGATCAATGCCATTTCTGTTGTGGGTATCAGGGCTGCTTTCTTGGCTTCCCGATCTGCCCTGTTGTTCCCTTGGGTAATTTGAGAAGTTCCCTTTTGGTGCCCGCAGCAGTGAATGAGTGCTACCTGTTTTGGGTTTTGAACCACTTCTATGAGATGTAAAATCTCAGCCTCAGTTTTTAGAGGAATTTCTTGTATTTAAAAATTCTCTCTTTCCTTCCAGATAGCTATGTGGGCATGCAGAACAGGTAGGGCATATTTTGAGTCTGTGTATATATTTACAATTTTTCCTTCCCCTAGGGTTAAGGCTCGGGTTAGAGCTATCAGTTCAGCCTTCTGGGCTGAAGTGTTGGGTGGCAAAGGTTTCACTTCTGTGACACTGTGAGCGCTCATGATAGCATCCCCTGCCCTCCTGACCCCGTCCTTAATAAAGCTACTGCCGTCAGTGAACCATTCTTCCTCAGGGTTTTCTATGGCTTGATCTGTTAGATTAAACCTACAGGCATAGACCTGGTCAAGGGTTTCGAGGCAGGAATATATTAGCTCTGGGCTGTCAGCAGGCATCCGTGGAGCTGGGTTGAGGGTGCAGCAAGTTTTGAGGGTTACCTCTGGGGAGTCGAGGAACAAAGCCTGGTACTTAGTAAAGCAGCCTCCAATTAGCCAATGGTGGCCTTTGAGCTCCAGGATCCCTTGTACTTGATGGGAGGTCTGGACTTCCAGTGGCTGTCCAAAGGTAAGCTTGTTAGCTTCTTCCTATAGAGCAGAGGCAGCTACTACCCGAAGGCAGCCAGGCCAACTTCTAGTTGTTGAAAAAATAGCCTATAGGCTGAGGAACTGGCCCTAGCTTCTGTACTAGGACCCCCCCAAGCTGTCCCTTGCTTTTCAGTCACGTATAAGATGAATGGCTTTTTCAAACTGGGGAGACCCAGAGCAGGGGCTCTGGTGAGGGCCTGCTTGATAGGATTAAAAGCCTTTTCCTGTTCCCCAGTCCAAAGTAATGGTTTTGTATCTGGGCCTTTAGTGGCTTCATACAGGGGCTTAAGCCATTATCCCAAATCCTGGAATCCAAATTCTGCAAAATCCTGCCACGCCCAAAAAAAGTGTTTGTCTTTGGAGAGCTTAGGCCTAATATAGCCCGTTTTCTATCTGGAGATAACTGTCTACTTCCGAGGTTTATAATATAGTGCAGATGTTTACCTTGTTGCTTTGAGATTTGTGCCTGTGTCCGAGAGACTCTAACCTCGGGCCCCAGGGAAATCAAGGACTTCAATTGTGTTCTGATTTGAGGCCTCCGTGGAGGGGCTGCATATTAATATATCAATATCTACATACTGTAGAACAGCCCCTTCTTTTAGGTGTTATCTCCCTTAGTTCCTTTCCTAGGGCCTGGGCGAACAAGTGTGGGCGGTCCCGAAGCCCCTGAGGCAGTACTGTCCAGGTGTATTGTTGCATTTGGCCTGAGAGGGCATTCGTCCACTGGAAGACAAACAGATACTGTGAGGAGGGATGAACTGGGATGCAAAAAAGGCATCCTTGAAGTTGAGCACAGTAAACCATTTAGCATCCTCAGGGATTTGGGCTAATGTGTTATAAGGATTGGCCACGAGGGGGTGAATAGGGACCACAGCATCATTTCCTGCTTTAAGATCTTGTACCATTCTGTATTCCCCATTTGCCTTAACATCGGGAAAAATAGTATTGCGTGGAGACTGGCGGGACACCAAGAGGCCATGTTTTAAGAATTTATCTACAGGGGGTTTTAACCCCCTTTTTTGCTTCCAACTTTATGGGGTATTGTCTCTTGTTAGGGTAGGCAGCTTCTGGCTTCAAGTTAATTTTACAGGTTGGGTGTTTATGGCCCTCCCAGGGACTCCTTTGTCCCAAACTGCAGGGTTCACTGGTTGG